AGGGAAAACGGCGAAACTCAACGTAAAGTATCCTAAGGCGGGAGGGGATCTCCTCCTCCTTCACAAAGTCTTAAAGATAGAGGCGTAATAAAACTTAAAACTGACTTAATACAATGGAAGCTATACGGTTAAGTGTAAATACGAATTTTAAACGTCATATTCGCTATTTTTATATGCAGCATGTACATATTTAGATAAAAATCGTTAAAAATAAAATTATAAAATGTTAATTTACCTAATTTGTAAATAAAACATAGATTTGTTAAAAACAGAAATTGTGCCTTATGGCTTTAAAGATGATTATATATTTTTATACTATCGCACTTGGGATGAATACATCAGATGACTAAACGCAGTGGTGATGTCGCCTTCAATTATATCGGATGTTAATTGTTATTATACGAGTTAATAAGGTATGCTTGACCATTATTCGTATAGTGAATAATAAATCAGTATTTTTCGTCAACAATATATAATAATAAAGACTATTCAATTTTCTTCGCGATATGCGATATACTTGTGCATATATATTAAATGACTGCCACCAACATCACCGATGCAGCGGTCAATTCAGTTACAAAGCTGACCGTAAAAAAATCGTACTGTATATATCATACAGAACGTCGGACTCTATGATATACCACAATCATTGATGATATACCATGGCTCCAATGATCGCGAAGAGGTCGCCAACTCGTTTCACTGCACTACAGTAATGGCGTCATCAGGCTCTTTGGGGCTACGAGACGTCGGCAAGAGTGTAGTTTCTCTAACTCGGGGAACCGGCATATCTTCAGATTGTGGATAGAGGAATGACCTGGAGATATGTTGGTTAGCCTCTAAATAAGTAATTCATTAATTTGGGCTGACGAATAAGCGGTCGCAGACAATTCGTTCATTCGTTAACTCTGCAGAAATGCACGATAATCGTAATATAATACATTTTTTAAAGTGTCGAATAGGCGGTAGCGCTTGAGAGATGTGATATAATGGGCGGGTGGGCACATATCCTGGCAAGGCAACTTCCTAGGTGAAGGCAACATTGAATTCAAATCCCATGGTGGCAAGTAAAACGCAAGGAAGGTCGACGTGAATTTCGGAATCTGCCGTAAAGAGTGAAATTGCGCCAAGACAAGCTACTGATGCAGTGCGAAGGATGCCTCAAGGATATGAAGTGGATTGACTGACGCGATCATTAACGGAGGACGACGTGGTTGACTTCGAGAAGATGATCGACGACTGGAAGGTTTATCCCTCTTGGGAAAAGATTAAACCGTGGTCCAAGCGTCTACCATACCCGGAACTTTCGATGAGGACGAGTCGCTTCGCCTGCAAGTCCTGAAAAAAAAAAGGGTCCACTTTCCAAGTTGGGTCCATGGTTGATCTGATGTTGGTTAGCCGAGATGTGTGGTTGCTCGTCCAGGCGTTCGCTGAATCCGTCTTGAAAAAGAAGGAGGAAGCGGAACGCCTAAGACAAAGGCAGCCACGCTCCCGGTACAGGAGGACCTAAGGCGCTGGTTTAGGCTGGTGCTTTAGGTTCTTATTTTCGTGTTTTGTAAATTATTAAGAAGGCGTGGGCCGCCCTGAAGTAATGCCTAACAGCAGTTCCAGGGCGGCCTATAAGCCGGTCGTGGAAAATAAAAGGGAGACGCGGCGCAAGCTTCTAATCAAAATCGTACACTCGTCCTCCTGTACGGGTCCCTGGTTTGGGCAGATATTCTCGAGTATTCACCCAAGATCCGTGGGACTCTGTTCCGGGTGCAGTGATAGGCGGCGGACCTAAATAAAATTTCTATACAGATTTTAAACATAAATTAAACTAAACTTGCTCTTTTGCTTATTCACCGTAACATTTTTAAGGAAACATTAGCCATCATTATTTTTTACCTCACTTAAAACATCAATTTCTAGGCGATGTCGAGCTTAAATAAGCGATTTTATTCCGATCGGATTTAGAGTTCGAGCTGCGTTCTCCACTTTTTTTCACAAACTATCACAGTTTTTGGTAGCCATCACGTTATATCTTAAATCTCATTGCCTTTGCCGTTTGCGAAAGCTTAGTCGAAGATACCATCTTCGCCATATCGCTTAGTTTTTTTTAAACTGAACTATATTTATCAAACCGTTGATACGGAAATTAATAAGTTTGAAGCAAATTATAATATAAATTTTTTTTTTTTTTTTTTTGAAAAAATGAGTAGTCTGGTCTGGTTGGATTGGGTTAAAAATATTAATTAAAGGTAACAAATATTAAAATACTCAACTATAAAAATCTGTAAGTATATTTTTATAGTATTTCAAATTGAGTATTTCTTTGCTTTTATAGTTTAAATAAATTTTAAAGTAAACAAAGTATTTTAATTTACGGATATATAGAAAACATTATGTCATTATAATTGAAGCTAAAAATGATAGTAATTATAAATTACCTTCAAGTTTATAATCATTGTAAGTTTCTTTGATTTCATGACAATATAATGCATGTTTTAATATATCAATATTTTCACCATATCTACGACTCAATATCAAAGCTTCAAAGAAATCTATTTGACGTACATTAAGTCCCTCGCTCTTTAAATATAAATTTATCATATTTAATGAATAAATAAATAAAAATTTGAATAGACTTACTTTTATGCTGGTAAAAAAACAAAATGAACAAAAGATTAATATAGTTTTTAAATGCATTACAATGATATTTTTACTTAAGAAAATAATTATTCATACTTTTAAATTCTAAATGTGTAATTTCACATAAAATTTTTTGCAATTTATACTGAAATAGTGCAAATATTAATTATTTAAACTAAATTAACATTTCTTGTGAAACAAAAAATAGATTTTAATGTATTGACATTATTAAATTTAGATTTCAAAACAATTTTTTTATGACGCCACCAAAAGTTAAAATTTACTATTCAAAGTATACAAACTTCATTAAAAACAAATAAAATTTTATATAATTAAAGATTAAAATTTTTTACTTTTTCTTGACGAATTAACGATTAACTATTTTATTGTATAAGTCATTTTATTTTCTTCTAGTCAAATTCGCTGATCATAAATTGATATAATATGTTAATAAAAAAATATATTTAAATAAATGAACTTTAAAAGTACTTTCTAGTAAAAAGTTGTACCACAGAATTATTTTGACCATAATGTTTTTACAGTTTAACAAAAAATATATATAGTTATTTATAAAAACTAATAACGATTAGTTCTAAAAAAATGTTTACATATTTTTTCTTCAAATTTAATTAATAACTTACACTAAATAACTATTTATAAAATCAATAGCTTCAAAATATTTTTATTAAAGCACAATTGTTTATTAATATTGTGTTTAATTCGTAATTTTAAATAACTGAATATATTTTGAAGTGAACTAAATATGTATAGGAGAAGTTAATCGTGTTGTAGTTGAACTCACTACATATCATTAATATATAAATCATTACATCACGGCTAGCCTTTAGAGTAGGGGTCAAAAAAAAATAAATAGATACTTTTGTCACGTTACAAGCTTAAACCCTGTAACTGCTTTTTATTTTTTCACTTCTCTTATTACTTTCATAAGTAGGAGAGAAAAGAGTATCTATACACAGACGATATGGAGGTTAAATAGGGTATTATTAGCTCCTTACACCATTATCAGAAAATATAAAATAAAATCAAACAAAAGCGCGTTTGTATAAGAATACGCTAAACAATTAAGAAATTAATAGTCATAGACAATAGGTTTAGGTATATAACTCGTTACACCAAGAAAAAAAAAATCTGAGTAGAGAATCAAAATTCTTCTATCAATTGAAAAAAAAAACTAATTAATTCAAATTAATTAATTAAAAAAAATTAAATCTTCTTTTAAAGAAAAGAAAAAATAAATAAATATCAACCAATGTCGAATATTATCACAAAAAAAAAACCCCAGCACAGTGGGGGTCGCGGCATAGTGGAGACGTTGCATAGTGGGGTCCATTATAGATTTAATCTTAAAGTGATTAAAATCACTATCATAAGAAACACTTCGATGCAAATCTGTAGATAGTGTTTAATATTAAAAAATTGATGGATAATTACAAAAGCAACATCAACTTCTATTTCCTTAATTATACCCAGATTAGTAATTCTTTTAATTATATATTATATAATTTTATTTAATTATAATTTAATAATTTATAATTACGCTTCCTCTACTAGAGTCAGAGCAGCCAATAGAATCAATCAATGGATTGCATTGTTCCATACTTATCATGCTATCGTTGTCTAGGTTAAGATTACGGAATTCACTTGAGATTCTTTGAACCTCATTTATATCCAGTTTTTTCACCTAAATAATGAAAAATAATTGTTTAATAATTNTCTGTTGCCACTTTTTCTCACTTCTCACGGGACCGATTTCTTTCAAAAAGATCACAAATTGTATCTAGTTGGAGACAGTGTATTCGCATTTAAGGTATTTTAAATTAAAATAAAATACAAAACCCAGGATTTTAACACAAAAATAGCATAATTTTAAATACGGTAGCCATTTGCGCATAGAAGATAGATCGTCTGGACAATTTTTTTTTTTAATTTTGTAGTATATAACATAACCTTTGGTTTGATATATGTTTAAAGGACGCAGAATTTTCAAAAGTTCAGTTGTAAAAATTCTATGTTTTATACAATGTTTCAAGTTTTGAACGCCTCCTATATAAGGGGAAATTGTCTAATTTTAATTAAAAGTATGTCAAATGAAAGATGTACTTATAATGTATTTAGAAAAAAAAAATTTGTGCTGATAATTACATTTTTTGAAAAGTTATAAAATTTTTAAGTTGAAAATTTAAAATCGAAAATCGAAAATTATAACACAAAAATAGCGTTTTAACTTCGATGCAAAGCTTAGAAGTTATTAATTTTACCATGATGTGTTTATTTATTTTTTTTTTTGTGTCTGTCACTACTTTTTTTCAGCTCTCACTGGACCGATTTCTTTTAACAATACGTCAAAAGATCATAAATCGTATTTAGTTGAAGACATTACCCTTAAAAATTGAAAAAAATTCCCTCGTTCCCCGAAAATGGGGGAAATATCCAAAAAAATTACAAATTTAAAAATCGGTAAATTTTGTCATTTTTTTCTTAAAACTTCCATAACTTTTTCAAAAATAAACAAATCAACATAATTTTTTTTTAAACTAAACCCTGAGATATTTTTTTTTATTTGATATCATTTTTATGAAAATCTAACACTTACCCTGCTCATTGGGGGGGATTTAAAATAGCAACTTTTTTTAGAAAAATTAACTTTTTCAACTTAATTTTTGAAAATGTTCCGGAAATACTGCGTCCTTTAAACATACATCAAATTAAAGCTTATTTTATGTACTATAAACTGAAAAAAAAAATCTGTCCCGATACTTTATCTTCTGCATGTAAATGGCTGCCGTAGTTAAAAAAACGCTATTTTTGTTAAAATTTTCGATTTTGGATTTTAAATTTTCAACTAAAAATGCTATAACTTTTCGAAAAATTTTTATATCAGCACAAATTTTTTTTTCCTAAATACATTATAAGTACATCTTTCATTTGACATACTTTTTATTAAAATTGGACAATTTCCTCATATATAGAGGGCGTTTAAAACTTGAAACATTATATAAAAAATAAAACTTTTTCAAGTTAACTTTTGAAAGTGTTTCAGAAATACTGCGTCCTTTAATCATATATCAAATTAAAGCTTATTTTATGTTCTATAAAATAAAAAAAAAATTTGTCCCGACACCTTATCTACTATGTGCATTTTGCTGTCAAAATTAAAAAAAAAATGTAATATTTGCGATAAAAATCACCTTCTATATCTATTTTGTACTTAAAACTGCCATAACTTTTTGAAATATTAACAAATCAAAATAACATTTTTTTATATTGAAACCTTAGATAATTTCCTTTCATTTGATATCATTTTTGTTGAAAATCTAACACTTATTCTGCTTACAAAGGGGATATAAAATAGCAACTTTTTTACAAAAACTAACTTTTTCAGCTTAATTTTTGAAAATGTTCCGGAAATAGTGAATAAGAGCACGGTGAATATAAAATATTTACGCTAAGTGCAGGTTTTTAAATAGTTATTTTATTTAAGAAACGTATTAAACAAATAGTCAAAAAGTAATATCAAAATGTAACACAAAACAAAATAAAATCATTCAAAGATACTCGCGTCCATCCTCCTGATCCGTAACTCGACATTTCTTCGTCGAAACGTACAGCCCCTGTATCCTTTCTAGTTTCCCTTTTATGTTCTTTTTCTTACCATTATTAATTTGCTTACCCTGCATTTCCCTTTTGTATGAGATTATTGTATTGCTTGAGAATTCAAAAACTGCTTACTACTCTTTTGTATCGACGTTATTCAGCTATTTACTATAATGTACATTGTCTATGTACAAATCTAGCTGTTCATAATTATAGGACTCATTGAAATTATTATTAAGTAAAGAACATACTTGAGTTGAAGGCAAAACTTTATTTTAGGGGTTGAAAATGAATAGACTTCTAAGTCTCATATAAGTTAATTATTAATATTTTGAGCACTCATTAAAAAAAAACCAATCACAAAGTTCAAAATTTTTATATGTTTATCAACAGTCATTTTCTGCCCGTGCTCTTTCTCCCACCATAAGAGGATAAACATAATAATGGCCCAGAAATTGTTATAGACCAGTTATTTTCTTAATTAGATCGTTATTTATTAAATAAATTATTTTTTTGTATATTGCCATTTAAAAAAATTAATTTGACACCTTTGTAAGGTATAAGGGATGAAAATTAAAAGTACTTAATAAATTTTCAATTGAGAAAAACACGTACTTAAAAAAAACAAATTAAAAAATTTTAATAAATTTTTTTATTTTTTAAATTAATTAAATAGTAAATTATAAATAATAAATCATTCTGTTTACATAGGTATGTGTTAACTAATAGATTTTCAAAGTATTATCAATAATATGTGTGAGTGTTATAAGATTGAACATTGTATAAGCATATTTATTTCATGAATATTTATTCTAGAAAAATACATTATTATAGATAAAAATATAACATCACCGATTTTCTACCAGTATTATTTTTTAATTAGGTATTACAATTTTTTATAATTTTAGAATATTTTATGTAATAGCTGGAAAAATAGTTTATTTATAAGTTGAAAAAAAATCATAACATTTGCTTTGGTAATACCTTTTTATATCATTTATCGAATCTGGAAAACGAAGATTTGAAATTGTACGTTTTGTATAATGTAGGTATTGACCTTCACCAAAGTCTGTATTTTTAAATTGTGCCTTGTAGAATAATACTCTTATCAGTACTTTACTAAATCCGTATATTGTTATCTCTAAAAAATATAATTATAAAAAAAATATATCGACTTTTTATAATGATTTGTTAAATAATTACTCTCGTCATTAATATCTTTCTTCAAATTAACTATAGTACTTTTGAGATTTTCATTGTCATTTTCATTGAGTGTTACTACCTAAAATATGCAAAATAGTTTATTGTTATACATTTATTAAATACCTTTATTTTTCAAGTTCCATATTTTAATGCACACCAGGAAATATTTTTTTTATTTGAATTTAAACAAATAACTTGTAAAGTTCGAAAACTACTTGTCTTCACGAAAATTTGGCCTTTAATCTCAAATTTTGGCATAAAATTAAATTCACATTAGCTTGTATTCGTAAACATTTTTGTTTTGACAAAATTTTATAGTAATGACACGGATGTTGGTAACTTTAGCATTAGTCACTTCCGTATAACTTCAAACTAACTAGTAAACTTCTATTGATAATTAGTTAATTACTATTCTTATTTTATAAAAGACTAATGTCCAATAGTCTGCATGACAGTGTGTAACGTAACAAAAAGTACCTGTTTATTTTTTTTATCTAATTGTATACGGAGTGATCGAAATCTAGTAAGACATTTATTTTCTCAGAAACTATTAAGAATTTAAAATTTTTTTAAAGAGAAAAAATATCAAGTTCAAAAATCTCTACATTAATATGTAATAAAATTATTATATTTTTCACTCCTTCAGGGATAAAAACCCTTATTTATAATTTTCTTAAATGGAAACCTTTATTTTTAATTTTATAATATGATAGAAAAAAATATTACAAGCAACTTTATCCGTACAATTTATTTTTCCGATTAATCGTTTGACCATTACAACTTGTTAAAGTTAAGTGATTTTAGGCCAAGTTTCTATTGTTATTTTACTGTATTAAATACAGAAGTCATTATTTTTATTTAAAGGGACGAAAAATATAATGATTTGACTACATATTAAATCAGAGATTTTTTCTCTTTAAAAAAATTTGAAATTCTGAACAGTTTCTCAGAAAATGAGTGTCTTATCAGATTTCAATCACTATATACATTAGGGTGGTCCTTATTTTTCGACTTCGCAAATTCCTTGGTCTCACCCCCCAAATTTGTTTATATACATGTAAAAACGAACCAAAAAAAATTTCACTTCAATCAGACAAGTTTAACCCGTGCCTACTCGGGGTTGAAAATTGGACAATAGGGGTAATTTTCTAGTGTTTTGTACTTAATTCGGAAATGAGCGATTATAGAAAAAAAATTGTAGAATATAAATTGTTGAAAATATTACGGACTATAAGTTTAATTCTTACACATTTTTTTTAAACTCATTAGTTTTCGAGCAAAATTTAAAATTATATCATATTTTATCGATTTGCCCAAATTGGAATATTTACGACTACTACATTATATTGACAAACATTTAGAGATACGAATACATCTTTTATACAAAAATCGTTTATTATTTAATTATTAACAAATTCATCACAAAACCGTGGTGTGGGCTAAGCATCCCCCCCCAAAAATTAAAAATACACAGTTGAAAAAAAATTGCTGATGTTACAAATTTATAAATTATGCTAATTGTTTTTCTCAGTTTCAAAATTCTTTATATCATAATAAAGTTGATTTTTTGCTGTCGGGATACTTATTTTTATAGTCCTTGACAATTTGTAATAAATACTGTTTTTGATTTTCATCATTGGTTAAAATTCTGTTGTACTGTTATAAGTTGTACAGCGTAAAAAAAAATATTGATTAATTCGCTACATCAAACAGTTATAACAATATTTATGTATACTGGTGTGATTGATTATAATATATACAAAAATAAATCACAAAAAGAGTAAAAAATAAATTGTAATATACTGTATTACACATGGACTGAAAAGTACTAAAGTAACCTTTCAATTATTAAAATAGTATCACTTTTATAGCTTCATATATAAAACTTCAATTTTGTCGTTATAAATAAGTGTTCATCATTAAGATAAATATATATTTATTTAATTATATTAGTTTTTGAGTTCTTAGTACTTTATATTAGTTTCTTGGCGTAAATAATAATGAATAGTTTTAAAGAAATTTATAATTACGATTTCTTTACTAGAATCACAGTAGCCAATAGAATCAAACAATGTAATACATTTAGCATAAGATAGCACAGCGCATTTCAATTTTTAAATCACGATCATACATCTTGTAATGCAAATAAGCGAAAATCAACTAACATTAGTAGAAAAAATTTATAATTACGTTTTCAGTAGTAGTAAAACAGCCAATAGAGATTGATTCTATTGATTCATCCTTAATACCTTTTAAGGGTGTCAATAATATTTAACTAGCTTATAAATCTTAAAACTTGTAATAAGAATTTTTTCAAAATCACTATAGGCTTTATTATTTTTGAGTAGAGAGAAAAAATTGCTGGGCAACTCGTGTAAGTCGTGCGTAAATAACTATAAATGTTTATAAAATAATTTATAATTACGTTTCCAGTAGAAGAACAGTAGCCAATAGAATCAATTAATGTAATGAATTTTTCCTTATTTATCAAGCCATCGTTGTCTGTGTCAAGATTACTGAATATATTTGAGATTATTTGAACATCATTTTCATTAAGTTTTTCTATCTAAAGAATGAAAAATAATTTAATAAATGAGTCAGATATAATGACTAATAAATTAATTATTGTGTGATTTTACTGTTTTTTCATCGCCTGTCTTTTCAACTCCAACTAAAAAATTGAAAATCTTGAAAATTCTTACACTTTTATCATCTATAAAATATGAATATCTTGAATAAAGGGCAATTAAAATTTCATACTACATAATTTTTCTCAAAACTAATGAAAATATAAAAATGTGTTTCAAATAAAACGTTTTTATCATATCTTATTACATTTGTTAATACGAAATTTTAAAAATAATTTATGGGATGTTTTAAGAGATTAGGTTTGAAAAATTTAATGAAAATACGTGACTTAATACATCCAATGTTTTTGATTCTAGCCTATTTAAGACACTATTTCAGCTATGCAGCACTTATTACAACGTTATACAAAATGTAAATACATCATTTATAATTTAAAACTATTTAATCTAAATTATTGCTACCAAGGATTCGGAACGGAGCAAATTTTGTTCCGTTCCAATATTTGTTCCGGAACGGAACTTTTCTTAAAAATCGTTCCAACCATTTGCTTCGGAACAGAATGCTAGCTACAAATTGTTTCGCAAAAATGCTTTGGAACGTTCCTATTTATTTTCACCCCTCTGATATTTATTAATCACATTTAAATTATTCTTTTATTTTTTTATATTAATCTACTATTCAATTTTTATCTTTTATATAGAGGTGAGCCTCTTATGGATTCAGATCTTTGTACTTAAGTCCAACCGGAGAGCATTATATTCAGCCTATTCAATTATTTTAACGTATTGCATTGCTATAACTAGATTTATTTTAGCAGTCGCTTTTCTGAATTTATAAATACAATCTTATTATTGACGAGTGATGGAACTTAAATTTTAATTTTACCGTGTCATTTTTACCATAGAATTACACTATGATTTTTACACGTAAATAACAATGCAAATACAATAAAAATATCTACTGATCAGAAATTTGCATGAAGTTGTTTTTTTTGTAACATTAGAAAGTAAACTTGTCACGAATATGAGTTGACAGCATACATTCTATTCGAGGGCATCTGGACGGATTAACCGTCCTTTTAGTAGCTTATTTTTTAATAGACAATAAAAATAATTTTAATTTAAATAATTAATTCCCCAACAATTTCAATTATATCCAATGTTTCAACTTGACTAAATACCAAATACTAATTTATTACTAGATATTATTATTATAGATTTTATATAACACAAAGAACTATATAACGTGATCTATAAAAATTATTCATGGTTATGAATAAATTATTAACACTTTAAATACTATACTATTTTTTTAATTCACATAAAATTGTCTATTTAATAATCTAAATTTTAAATTTGAAGTTGAGTTATAAGTTATGGTAACAAATAAACCTTTTTTTTCATTATAAACTTTCAAAAAATTAACTTTAAAGACCAAACTATAGGTCAAAAATTATAATATGCACTGATTATTTTTAACATATTAAATACGTTAAGTAATAATTATTTATGGCATAATTATTAATATATTGCGCAAAGCATTTGAATAAATGTTGCAATAATTATATTGATTACATATTAAATATAAAAACTCCATACGCAAAATATTATTATAGTTATTAATATAATTAGATCGCCCTGCAATATCCGTATGTATAGTACAACATGTAACATTTTAACGCAATAACAATAGTAAAACGATATCTAAAATAAAAAGGCGATTACTTTTTAAATTTACAATATAAAATTAAAAAATATATTTTTATTATGAACTTGCATATTACATCATTATCTATTATTATCCATATGCCTTGATTAAAAAAAAAAGTAAACTATGTTGTGACACCCTCCTTAAAAAAAGAAGAACACCACTGTGTTTCAATTACGTTTGACGCCATAAAATATCAATTCAAGTATCTCTTTAAGTTGAGCTTTTACTAACTATTTACAAATGTAGTTAATTTCAATGTTTATATTATATGATTTATAATCATAAAATTATACATTAATACACCATTGCCATTGGTTATGACTTAAGTAAAAATTCTATACAGATTTTAAACATAAAACTAAACTTGCTCTTTCGCATATTCGCCGTAACATTTTAAGAACACATTAGCCATCATTATTTTTATCTCTCTTAAAACATTACTTTATAGGCGATATCGAGTTTAAATAAACGATTTTATTCCGATCGGGTTTTTGAATTCGAACTGCGATATTTTTCTTTGCAAACCATCACAACTTTGGTCACCGTCACGTTATATCTTATATCTATTTGGTGTGTCGTTTGTAAAAGCTTGGTCAAAAATACCGCATTCGCCATATCTCCTAGTTTTTTTTTTAACCGAACGCTTACACGGAAATTAATAAGTTTGAAGTGAATAATAATACAATTTTTTTTTTTTGCTGAAAAATTGAGTAGTCTGGTCTGATTGGATTGAGTTAAAAAGTAATAAAAATATTAGTTTAAGGTAAGAAATATGAAAAACACTCAACTATAAAAAGTATATTTTTATGGTATTTAAAATTTAAAATTTTTATATTTTTATATTTTAAATATATTTTAAAGTAAACAAAGTATGATAATTGATATATACATCAAAAAAATTGTGTCAATAAAATTGAAGCTAAAAATTATAGTAATTATAAATTACCTTCAAGGTTATAATTATTGAAAGTTTCTCTGATTCCATGACATAATAATGCGTCTTTAATTCTAGTAGTATTTTCACCATATTTATACATTATCAAAGTATCAAAAAAATCTATGTGAAATATATTAAGTCCCTCGCTCTTTAAATATAAATTTATCATATTTAATAAATTAATAAATAAATAATTGAAAAAATACTTACCATTGTGTCGTTAAAAAAACTAAATGAACAAAAGATTAATATAGTTTTTAAATGCATTACAATGATTCTTTTACTTATGAAAATAACAATTAAAAAAAATAATTATTCAAATGTTTGGATTCTAGCTGTATATTTTATATATAATGTTTTACAATTTATACTGAAATAGTGCAAATATTAATTATTTAAACTAAAATAATGTTTTTGTTAAAAAAAAATTGTATTTTAATGTAATGACATTATTACATTTAGACTTTAAAACGTATGATATAGATATAATAGACTTTATGACGTCAGTGTTTAAATTTACTATTCAAAGTGTAAAACTTCATTAAAAAACATTAAATTTTATATGATTACAGATTAAAATTTTTACTTTTTCTTGACGAATTAACGATTAGCTATAGCTATGTTTCTTTTTTTAACTTTCTCTTTCTCGAACAATTCAGACTAAAGGAAATATTTTTGATTATCTAAGCTCTTTAGGAAAAAATTAAGGTAAGAGAAAAATTTTATCCTATAACTTTTAGATTATTGGTCAGTGGTAAAATCTCGTATTTAGAAATTAGCTAATATTGACACAATAAAAAGAATAGTACAAATGGTATTTGGACTCATTGGTATTGTTTAAAAATATATATATATCTTTTTATTTTTTAATATAATAAGATTAATAATATAACCACATAGTATAATTATTGATTATTATAAAAAATAAAAATAGTTTACCATATTAAATGTATAACCACACTAGTATATCATAACAATTAACAAAAGTAAATAAAAAAAAAAAAAACGAGACCTAGCTCTGGATAGGGCTCATTCTAAGATGGAATCTCGGTCCCGCATGAAGGCCGATGCCTAAAAAAAATTAATACATATTTTTTAGAAAAACTGGTCACTTGCGACAAAAAATTGCCTGCTCACACACAGCAAAATACTACTATGTCGGTTTATATAAAAGAGAACATTTTTTCGACATACTAGGACGACGACCACGATTTAGGAGAGGATATTGGCCTAACAATTTATCGAATATCAGAAAGATAAAAGTATAAAAATTATTAAAATCATATAGGTACAGTGGTAGCCAGTGTATGTGTCATATAGAGAATGATTATTAACTTAATAAAGAATATTGCGCGTATCGCTTCACTATGACAGCAACAGCACAATTTTCTAATTACAAGGCTGGATATAACGTATACGCGCCCATTAGCAAAGCAAAGCAAAACATTAAATCTATCTATACAATAAGAAATAATAATAGATATAAAGATTCACATTTTGTCACGTTATAATACGAATAATATTATAATAAGTGTCATTCTATATCGTATGACGATTGTCCAATTATAGTCGATCGACAGGATTGTGTTGACCCAGGGACATGGCCCGACGTCTAGGCATATGCTTCTACTGTTATGTTCCGTATTAGTCAGTCGTGATTTGGTCATACCCTTGTAAATACATTATTTGCATCTTAATTTTATGTCTTAGTATTCTACTTCTTGTTATATTTGTAACCATATATTATTTTTTTTTATAAAATTAAGTGATTTAATATGATAATAAATTCTAAATCAAATATATGATTTGAATTCTCTTTTAAAGTAATATAAATGTTAAGTATCTCTTATTGTTATTTTATAAATGTATAATATTATAATTGTCATTTTATAGAGCGTGATGATCGTCCATCGACAATCAGCCGATAGGATTGTGCTGATTGAGGGACGCTTGGGCATATAAAATATNAAGCAATAGATCTATTATCTCCTTTTAATATCAAGAGCTATTTTGCTAGTTTGTTCACACCTGCTACATATACACATTACAAGGTCTCGAGGGTCGGATTACCGCCCCGTGCCTAAAAAGAGTTTAAAAACCTAATGTATATCTGATTATATTAATAGATACTTCGACTGGGTATTCGAGGGTCGGATTACCGCCTTGTTACCTCAGTGTCCTATTAAAGGTGTTTACAAGTTTATTAGCTCATATTCCTCAAGTAAGAGGATANTTAGCTCATATTCCTCAAGAAAGAGGACATGCTTTTATTTCTTCATATCTACTTGTCTTTATTGTTCTAAACCCTCGAACCATACGACCCCGATAGAACCACAACATCAGGTTCTCACTAAGCTCAAATATTTATCATTCATTATTTACATTTTACCAACTCTGCCTTTCAATATTTTTGAATTATAACAATTTCTTAAATGGTTATTGCAAAATCAAAACGTATTTTCAAATTTTATTAAAATTATCATTTAAATAAAAACAATACTCAAAAGTAAAATATTCATGTACAACCATTACATTACTATTGTCGCCAGAGTAATGCTTAAAAACATAATCAATTTCTAGAAAATTTATTAACAAAATAGTCAAAAAAATTATAACATAATTATTATAACCCTGAATTTTTCCTATTTCTATTTTCTTATTAATATTTCATTCTAAATTGAGGCTCTGTATTGTCTTTTATTTTCTATTTTGTTATGTGTATATGTTATTATTTAGTTCTTTAGATATATTTCATTTTAATATTAATTATTGGCAAAAGGGACTTTTGATTATAAAAAGACTGGATTGTATTATTTTTTAGCTCCCTAGTGTTTTTGACTTATGTTAGTTTATAAGTAATACATTCATCATGCTATAATAGATGGTTAGATATAAATAATAACAATGTGTCGTTTATATATTTAATGGGTTTTTCTTAGAGTATAAATTTTAAAAAAAATAAATTTTCTTTATTAAATTAACTATCCATCATTATTAACGAACGTAGCAAGAGTGGATTGTCTAACCAAATTACGCCATTTTTGCAAAATGAAAGCCGGACGATGAATATGTGCGTCTCTGGAATGGGTTTCAAGAAGGACTCCAGGAGAGTACCAGGAATTTACGTGCTCGACCTGTTTCGATCGGACTCTAAGACGGCACGTCATAATAATCGTCTAGTTCTCGCGAGCTATCTTAAATAAACTCCTTAAAATAATTATAAATATATTTATCAGCTGATTATATTATATATTTGCTGATTGAGGGAAACTTGGACATATAAAATAGATCCTAAAAATAGTCGCGATTTTGTAATGACCTTTCACATTATTTACATCTCAATTTTAAATCTTTTTTTTTTTATGTCTTAGTCTTCTACTTCTTATAATATTTATAACTATATATTATTCTACCTTATAAAGTGAAATTATTTAATATAATAATAAAGTCTAAATCATTACGTTTAAACAAACTTTTAGTTCATTTATTTTATTTATTATATCTTCCCGTATCAGGCTCGTATAACAATATATATAGTAATTTATATTAATAATTAAATAATTATACTAATATATATTTAAAAAACGAATAATTGATACTTAAACATATATATTGCATTTATTGACTACTCAAGTAATAAAATATTAAAATTCATATAATTTCGATGAATTTCTTGGAGGGATAGTAGAAAACTTGGGAGGCTTAGTCCTCAAGCCCACCCAATCTTTGCTTATGCTCACCAACCCACTTCTCGACTTGTTTATGTCAATATGTATTAATATTTCAAAAAAATATACTTCCAAAATAGTTATATATTTGTTCATCTATTAATGAACCTTTAGAATGCGTCAATGGTTGTTGTTTAAAAAAAGTAATCATAAATCGTATTAAAAAAAGAAGTCTTTTTTATGCTAAATGATAATTTTTTTAAATATACAATTTTTATAAAGATATTTTATCTTACTAATAAATATTCTCACTAATATAACAATTCATGAAATACCTTTAGATATTTTCAATTTTCTAAAGTTGTTTTTAATTTTATA